TGATACATGTCTTTCTCTGTTTGACTTATTTCGCTCAACATAATACCCTCCAGTTCCATCCACGTCGTTGCAAATGGCAAGATCTCATTCCTTTTGATGACATGCTTTCTTCTTAAGGTCAGTTTTAGCAGTGACACAAAAGTTCAATTCCTCATCATGATGTATGAGTCCTACATAATTTGGCTCTTACTTATCTGACTTTTTGGCATCCCACTCCTCCCCAGGCTCCAGCCATATGGTCTTTTTTTCAGTTCCTTGAACATAATAAGCTCATTATAGCCTTCTAGCCCCTGCATTGTTCTCTCTTCCCAGAATGCTCTTTCTCTGTATCTGACATAATTGGTGCCTCAAGTTTCAGCTCAAACAGCACATCTTCAGATTGGTCTTTTCCTGGTTAATGTAGAAACTCACTGAAAAAAATTTGAGGGAGGCTGCAGAGGGATAATTACACCATGAGTAGCAGCAGCACTTTCTAAAAATCCTCTTAACTCATTTCTCCTCAAAGCTTCAAAGGAGGCTTCAAATTCTCCCTGAAAAGTTCTAGCCAGTCCTGCTCGCTTCCTTGCTGTCTCTCTGCTTAATGGCCAAGCTCCTAAAACTCCTCTCTACAATTTTCTCTTATTCCTTGCATAATTCCATGTAGTTTCTTATTTGGACAAACACAAAATACAACAAAACAAAAGGCCATCTTACTTAACGATAGAGCCTTTCCTTCTGGTAAGGAAATGGGAGTTGGAGAATTCTTTTAAAAAATATTAGACCAGTTTTCATTATCTAATAAAAGCAAACAAGTGAATAAGTTTCACAATATGCAGTTCAAATTCAGACCAAAGATTTCTCCTCCACAAATATGGCATATATTGCAAAGCTTTAATGGAGAAATAAAAACCAGGAACATTTTATAGATAGATCACAACATGAGCGTTATTAGCCTATTTGGTATCTAACATTATATTCTTTGTAGACACTAATGTCAATAACAGTTACAAAAAACCCCATTATAGCAAAACTTCTTAAAAGTAATTGAACTCATAAGTATTACCACTTTTAGAGAGCTCTCATAACTCTATGATACAAATTCAAACAGAATTTTGCAAAATTAAAGGTGGTATAAGGCATAACATAAAATTACTCAGCTATTTCCTATGAAGCTGTCAAGAATACGGACTGCTTTCCCCTGTGGATTTTTCTAGTAACATGGCAGACTATAAAAGTTTTGTCAGGGTTGGGGGGATGGATAACATTATCAAGTAAGTGAGCATTAAAACAGAAGACGCTGCTGGACTTACAGATTAATAGAGGAATGGTTATGCATATAACAATATTAATCATTACTTAGGTAATGGTTCTAGTATACCCTAGAGTCAAAAGGAAGACAATAGTTATGGAATGACTGGTAAGGAGGCAGATAGCAGAGTACACCTTATTTTTCAAAGCCCTTTCAAGGCAAGTGAAAGAAAGGATAGAAATGTGAGGAGTTAACTAGAACAAAAAGTAGAGTTTTTATTTACACCAAGAATAAGAAAAGGGTAGAATATGTTTGTGGCAAAGCCAATAGAAAAGTTATTCAAGGTACAACAGAATATATAAATAATTGATGATGCAAAACAATGAAATAAGAAAGAACTGAAAAAGAAAGGGAAAATAGAAAGAAATTCGGTATCAAGGGCATCAAGCAACAGATTTCCTCTAGTACTTGTTGCCGGGGTCCTAGATAGCCATTGAAGCTACTCGGGTGGCTGGTCCAAGGAAAAGGACTTACCCGCTCTTCAGCTTCTGTCAGAACATTCATAGCTCTCATGTTGACATTTCTCCCCAGTTTCTCCTTCATTTCTTGCAACTTCTGAAGTCTCTGACCAGCTTCTTTTGGGTTGTTGGTTTTGAAATCATAGGCACTATTAGGTTGCCCAAAGAGGTGTTTCTCTGCATTAATCCAGTCATAGTCTTTCAACATTTTGGAGACCTAGCCACAGAGGATAATAGAAGCATCTATCATTGTTTGCAAATGGACATTTAGAAACGAGTTTCTTGGGGCGCCTGGGTGGCTCAGTCGATTGAGCCTCTGACTCTTGGTTTTGGGTTAGGTCATGATCTCAGGGTCCTGGACTCTGAGCTCAGCAGGGAGTCTGCTTGAGGATTCTCTCCCTCTCCCTCTGTCCCTACCCCGCTTGTGCTCTCTCAAAAAAGTTTCTTAAATATTTAGTAATTTTAAATCAATGACTCATTTGTAAAAATGAGGTTCACTGTGAACAGTAAACCTACACTAAGTATGAATATTTTTACCTGGAGGATAGGCTCAAAAAAAAGATCTTCCCATTACTTAAGCACTGAAAGAATAGCCAGCCAGCTCAAATTTATACAAAGTATATGTAAAACACCTCCGTTAGAATGAAATATAAGTCAAACTCAATCAATTGCTTCAAAAACAACTTGTGAAAGTTAAAATTCTTATAGGAATACTTAAGTCATAGATTTGGTAAATTTATGGAAGCCTAATCCTGACTGACAATTCTGAGAAGAATTATTAGATAAATAAAAAACTCCCTAAACGTTGACTCCATTCCCTTAGCCCCTCCCTTTTAACAAGGCAGAGTAATGTACTTTATATATTATAAACAGTTAAAAATTTTAAATTATAGTGCTTAAGGAAGACTTTCTTCTACTAAAATTGTTTAAGGTTGGTTCTGACTGGTAGAATCGAATCCTTGTCCATTTGTTTGTCCTTATTAATTCCATGGGTACTGTCTCACCTCCAGGCTCCAAAGAGGATCCCTTCCAGTCTGCCTTCCCTGCTGATCCATAAGCTCTATGAAGGCATTCTGGGTACATGTTGCTTATCCTTATCTTCAGGGCCTGGCTACTCTCTGATACTACTTCGTATGCAATAAATATTTGATAAATTATATACTTCAAAGAATCCTTGACTTTTTAGCAGTTCCACTTGTGAGTCTCCTTTTCACTTCCTTAACTGTAAATAAAATCCCCCAGCAATCACCACTACTGGCATTTTCAATTACAAAAAACTATTAACAATATTAACATTGGTAATATTTCAGTGAATCCACTAATATTAGGCCTAATGGGAAATCGACAATAAAATATTAGGATATTAATGATGTGGCTATGAAAATATTTGTATTTTTTAAATTAAGGAACGAACCTGAACAGGCACCCTTGGCTCTTTCAGAGGGTAGGGTGACTGTTTTGTATGTTCTGACTTTTTTGAAGTTAAATCTCTTCTACTTTTAAGGTGCTAAAGAAGATTTAAAAGGCACCAAACTGTTACACACTCATCAGAAAACATGATGGGTGAATTACTAAGACTTCATGGGTACAGCCTCTTAACCAAGCAATGAATTTCTGCAAAAGCATGTATTCTTTTTAAAGTACTTAAGACACTGTGATACATAGAAGGAAGAAACTTTTTAAGAGTGACCAAAAACTGAGATAACCTCAAAAAGATAGCTGCTTAGCAAAACATCAGATTTCAGGGGCGCCTGGGTGGCTCGGTCATTAAGCGTCTGCCTTTGGCTCAGGTCATGATCCCACGGTCCTGGGATCAAACCCCACATCAGGCTTCCTGCTCAGCGGGAAGCCTGCTTCTCCCTCTCCCACTCCCCCTGCTTGTGTTCCCTCTCTCACTGTATCTCTCTCTCAAATAAATAAAATCCTTAAAAAAAAAAAAAATCAGATTTCAGATGAGGCTGCAAAATTGACTGTACAAATTCCTCACAAGGACATCCGGAAGCCAATTAAGTCCTTATTTTAGAAGGTGCCTGTATATATATTTCTCTGAGTTTTTAATTCATTTTGAAATAATATATACTATTACTATTAATATATTAATAGTTCTATGAATATTTGGGTATTAAAAAATGGTCAGTTCCATGGGAGACCACTATTCAGTAAAACATCTTGGAGATAGGAATACCTGAAATTTAGAAACAAAACATTTATGCCATTTGGTGAAAATGAACATTGCTGAGAAGCCGTTAAAATAGCTGTAAGCCTCAAAATTATGTTACACAGTTCTGCCATTTTATTGAATTCTTCATTGAGCAGTTTACCAGAATATGTCAACAACTTAGAAGTAAAAATCTGATTATGGGTAAAAATAAACAACACAAACGTGCCTTTGCAGCAGCATCTTCAGCTTCCCGTTTATGTTTGCTGATGTTGTGGTCCAGTTCCTTAATTTTAAGCTGAGAATCATTGTTTTGTTCCTTATGTGTTGCTACTTCGCCATATTTAGCTTTAATTACGTTGTCTTGGGCTGTTATCACTTCTTTTTGCTTGGTCACCTCTTCTTGGGCTTTATTTACAGACTCCTGAAACATAATTCAAAGACAACATATAGCAAGGTAATATGGACCTATTTTTAGTTTATTAAAAGATCTAACAAACTTTAGGGCAAGATGGGAATGTGATTACAGGCAGATGGTCACCTAACCCTCTACATTTCATATCCCCATTAAAATGGCTAATTTACATACAGGAGAAAACTTGTTTTATCACTAGAAATAAGATGCATTGCAGTGTTCATGCTGGAAGCAACAAAGTTTCTGCTGGATACAGCTTAGTTGGGATCAACTTGCAGAGGGGAGGAGAGACTATAGGAATCTGACTTCTGAGGTCTCAGAAAAGTGGCATTTTTTGGTACTTAACAAGAAGATAATATGACAGATCCCCAAATATCATTTACCAGGAGGGGTAGAATGTGGGCTGGGGCTTTCTACTTTTCCCTTCTATAGTTATAAGCCATATTTACCAGTGACAATGGAAGGTCATAATGTTTGGTTCTAGCACAAGGGTCAAAACAAAAATAAGATAGAAACTTTCTGAATAAATAGATCTGTGGCACAAAGAAAAACTTTCTTGCTTTGATTTTTATTTTCCCCTACTTCCCAAGGCTGAAGCTACTCAATCTCCAAAGTGGTAATTATAACTGCAGTTCAGTCTATCACTAATCCTCTGCCCCGCAAACCCCTCTGCTTCATCTTAGATCTTAAAAGAAATCACAAAAATATCTAAACCAAAAAAAAACTAGTTCAACTCATATTTAGGTAGGGGGAAAACCTAAGTAAGACAACTTGCTACAAGCATCTGAGGAAGAACGGTTCTTCATGATGAAAAGCACAAATAAAAAATCTAGCAGTATTTTAGGCATGCTCATTAGGAAATTATCATTTTGAGCAACAAAGAATACTTAATGTTATGGTTAGGTTATTGAATGTTCTCAAAGTGCTTTAAATTCCTTGTAATGTTTAAACTGTGTCATTAGAGGGTCTTTTGAGGAAGGAAAATAAATCATGGCATTCATATAAAGACCTAAAGATATTTTAGCTTTCTGAAACCTTTGAAGAACAAGAAAAGCAAGTGAAAAATACTCTGGTGATATTAACCAAAGGGAAAAATAACAGACACAGGTTTATTAACTAACAAACACCATATGTAAAAAAAAAACATGTTTATGAAGATTCTCTCAGGGCTACAGGTTAAAAATTGCATTGCAGGGGCACCTGGGTGGCTCAGTAGGTTGAGTGTCTGCCTTTGGCTCAGGTCATAATCCCAGTGTCCTGGGATGGAGCCCTGCATTGGGTTCCCTGCTCTGTGGGGAGCCTGCTTCTCCCTCTCCCACTGTAGCTACCCCTGCTTGTGCTTGCTCTCTCTCAAATAATAAAATCCTTAAAAAAAATAGTTTTGACTATTTTCATCTTTTTTATAATAGAAATCTGTCACTAAGGTTGAGCAGAAATGAAATTTTCGTTTTGTCTAATTAGTTATAGGCAGTTTCTTTTCTTAGCCTCCTGGGAGTGTCCTTTGATACTCTCATCAAGGAAAGGAAACAATTTAGAATGCAGAGCCTGAAAGAACAACCTTTAAAAACTAAGTGATCCATTTTATACTTTTCCATAAAGAGAAATGGAAATAGGTACATGTTCTAACTTTGACTTTATTTAGATTGAGAAAGGAGTACCTAACTATTTTCACATTTATTTTGGAAACACGTATCTAATTTTTAAATGCTACATGAAAAATATGAGATTAAGACAACAAATCAGAAAAAAAACTAAAGATAGTTTTAAAAAACGAAAATTTACTTTGGAGGCAAAATAGAAACTGAACAGAAACTAGAAAATTTAATCAGCAACACAAAACACAAAGCTGAGAAGCATTTTGATCTCTTAATTTCAAAAAAAGAGTAAAAACTGTTATTCTAGTGATATGACAATGTGCTACAAACAAAAAAACTTGAATTTAGCCAAGAGGAGCATCAAGAGGAAAGATCTACTTTCCAAAATATCACATACTATAACATTAAAATAATCATTTCAAAGGAAAAACATAAAAGAAAATGTAGAAGTAGACGACACAAGTAAGGCAAAAACACCACAATAAACGTCAAATGAACGCAACTCTCTTTCAAAAGCTATCTACATTCAGTTACAATGAAAATGAAGGATATTTACCAATAGTATCAATAGCAACATGACAGAAAACTTTAACAGCATGGTGACTATCATGATACCGTACTGTATATTTAAAAGTTGCTGAGAAAGATTGTAACAGTTCTGATCACAAGAAAAAAAAATTATAACTGTGTGGTGACAGATCTTAACTAGACTCACTGGGGTGGTCATTTTGCAATATATACAAATAAATCATTATGCTGTACTCTTGAAACTAATACATATCAATTATACCTCAATATGAAACAATTCAAAGTCAAAATCAAAGAAAGGGACAAGAGAGTAGCCAATATTCAGGAGGGACAATCTCTAATAAAGACATACCACAATATGAATTTGCAGGTGACAGAATGTCTAACATGGGAAATCCCCTCAGCCCTAAATCCTTTACTTCCCCGCTTCTGATATCAGAACATTTCTCCCCCACCAGCAGCAACTATAGTCAGCCTCACCAGTAAAGGATGCTGTAGGAAAACTGTAGAAAGAGGTTTTACATCCCAGTTCTGGCATGCTTTTCTCAAAAGCAAGTTTGTCATGTGCCAGGGCTAGCAGCTTGCATGGCTGTCCCAACATCAAGCGGGGGGGCGGGGCGGGGGGGAGGGAGAGGAGAGCAGGGCTTTGCAGCATGTTCACATGGCCAATGCCCCTGGCATCCCATGTGGCATTTCAAACTTCACCACCAGGGGGCCACAGTTATGTCTTCTCCAACTAGATCCGGTTTGCAGCCCTACAAAGTGCAATGAGGCTCTTTGCCAGATTTGTTCCTTCCATGGGTGAACTTCCTCAGCCCTACTCCCCATATCTGCTGCTCCTATATCATTGAACATTCTCTTTACTCTTTAGTGACCCAGCACACATCATTCCAAACTCCTATTGTAGTTTTTTAAACTTAGCCTGTTCGAATTACTGTGTACTTTTTGTCTTCAGAGTAGAGCCAGACTAAAACAATTAGTATTATTTCAGGACTCTTTCTGGATCAGTAATCACTGTTTTTGCCTCTCATCAACACAAGAATGAAGAGATTGAGACCTCTAAAGTCAAACATCTTCAAGCCAACATTTTGTAAGTGATTAACATTTGCTATTTCTCCAATATGGTAAGTAAACATTACCTTATTTTTAGCCACCTCAGCTGCCATTACTTCAATCTGTACTTCATAGGATTTGATAGCTTCATTTACAGCTTCAAGCTGTTGCTTATAGGATGCGTGCTCTCTCTTGAGCTCTTCCAGCTCCAGAGTGATAGCTTCAACTTCCTATAAGAAATCATTATCTACACATTCAACAGGCTATTAATTACTGAAAAATGAATACATACATATCAACAAACTTTGTAAGATTCTCATTCAGGTAAGACCCACAGCGTAGTTATTCAACTACCAAAACACATGTAAGCTGTTTCCCCTGAAGAAAGGAGAAAGGAAATTTATTTTCCTACACTTAAAAAAAAATGATGACAAACGTATGTAGTTTTTACAGGTTCAAAGAATTTAGCATAAACTATTTCCTTTATCCTTTTATTCCTACAGAGAAAAATATAGAATTCTACATAAGAGATAAATTAGCAGAGGAAAAGCCTTTTTTAAAACAATTATTCAATGTAAAAAAAAAATAGTTTCTCAATTTTCTTCTTTCCCATTATACTCTTTAGTTCGTTAGAAAATACTCTGTGCAGGTATTTAGTGAGAATATGAAGAAAAATAGATTTAAATAAAATCATCTAGAAAAGCGATTCAGAGCACAGCCTTTGGAGACAGAAAAGGCTAGGTTCAAATTCCAGCTTTGGCACTACCCAGAAGATAAAAGCAGTTATCACCACCAGTCTACAACTGAATGGCACTTTGTAAAGTAACATGCTTTGTCTTGTATCTATCTTTCACAGTATCCATTCACATAGATGATCACCTAATAGAAATGTCACCACTCAAGCCGATAGGACACAGCTCTACTACAGGATACAAGCTTTGGTCTACTCTTAAGTGAAGCATTTACAAAAAGGCAATTTTGCTCTTTCTCTAAAATTAGCAAGACATTGCAACCCATCCTTATGACATCCATTACAAGGTTTTCAGCAAAATGACTTAGAAGATGAATACTTTATTTCCTAAAGAACCATAGTGTGCTTTTAGATGTTGTGAATACTGATGAGTAAGGCCACCTTCAGCTCTATATTGACAATAGAAGACTGGTTCCACTTCAAGAAAGGTTATTACCTGTTGTTTTTCTTTCATTTTCTTACTAGAAGCATCTGCTTTCGTTTTGGCAAAATCCAGTTTTTCCTGAGCATCCTTCAGTTCTTGCTCCCTTTCAGCCTCTGCATTTTTCATTTTATTCTCCAATACTTCATATTTTTCTTCTGCTTTTTTCTGAATTTCTTTGGTATTTTTTAAGGTCTCCTCACTTTCCTCTGCATCATAAAGTAGGCAAATGTGGCTTAATGAGGTCCTCCAACTATTAGTAGTTACAGGTAATGGTTTATTAATGCCTTATAAATGCATCTTTTAATAAAAGAAATGGTCTGAAAAATTGGAGGCTAAAATTTTAAAAAATTAACTGTTCCAACCTTATTCTAGAAATGTTATGTTGAAACACAGATCCTACCTAAGAGCCATACTTGAATCATCTAAAGATCTATGAAGAAAGTATTTCCAAGCATATGAACTTGAGGAACATAATAAACTTTACCTGCAACTTACTTAAAAGATCACAGATCATCTTTTTAATACCTTTAGTACGCTTCTTAAACCAGAATCGACAGTATAACTATGGTATTTTCCCCTTACTTAATTGCCAAAGGCTTACAGTTAATTTCATAAATAAGCTTATGTTGTATTCTTTGCTCATTTATGCCTTTTCTTAAAGTAGAGAAATACTGAGAAAACTTTTCTAGGATGAAGCATAGGAGAAATATCTCTAATTTACAAAGAAAAAAATAAAACCAAGATAAAATGAGCACATTACTGTTACAACTGCCATACACTGTTTTAGAATGTAGATACAAATATAACCCTGGAGACCATGACTACACAATGTCCTATACTACTTTTCAGTGCATAATATCACTATAAGAAATCAAAGAAAATTTTTAAAAAATACCTTAAGACAAATGAAAATGGAAATACAACATACCAAAACTTAATGGGATGCAGCAAAAGCAGTTCTAAGAGTAAAGTTTATAACAACTGCCTACATTAAGAAACAAGAAAAATCTCTAACAATCTAACTTACATGTAAAGGAACTAAAAAACAAACAAAAAACAAAGCCCAGGTTAGTAGAAGGAATGAAATAAAGATCAGAGCAAAGGTAAAATGAAAGAGACCAAAAAATAATAGAAAAGATCCATGAAAGTAAAAGCTAGTTCTAAGAAAGAAGGAATCGACACACTTTAAGCTAGCCTAAGAAAGGGCTCAGATAAAATCAGAAAAACAAGGAAGACATTACAACTGATACCACAGAAATACAAAGGATCCCAAGAGACTACTATGAACAATTATATACCAAGAAATAGGACAACCTAGAAGAAAGAGATAAATTCCTAGAAACCTACAACCTACAAAGACTGAATCATGAGAAACAAAATCTGAACAGACCAATTAGTAATTGGTAAGGAGATTGAATCAGTAATCAAAAACCTCTTAACAAACAAAAGCCCAGTACCAGATGGCTTTACTGGTGAATTCTACCAAACATTCAAAGATTTAATACCTATCTTGAAGTCTTTCAAAAAACAGAAGAGGAGGGCACACTTCAAAACTCATAAGGCCGGCATTACCCTGATATCAAAACCAGACAAGGACACCAGAGGAAAAAAAAATTATAGCCTAATAACCCTGATGAACCCAGACACAAAAATCTTCAGCAAATATTAGCAAACTGAATTAAACGATACATTAAAAGGATGATACACCATGATCAAGTGGGATTTATTCCAAGGATGCAAGGCTGGTTTAACATCTGCAATCAATATGCTACACCAAATTAACCAAATGAAGGATAAATAGCATGTTTTCAATAGATGCAGAAAAACATTAGACCAATTTCAACATCCATTTATGGTAAAACTCAACGAAGTGGATATAAATGAAATGTATCTCAACATAAAAAAGGCCATGCAAGACAAGCCCACAGCTAACATCGTACTCAATACTGAGAGGCTGAGTTTTTCCTCTAAGATCAGAAACAAGACAAGGAGGACTCTTGCCACTTTTACTCAACATAGTACTGGAAGTCCTAATCAGAGCAATGAGGCGAAAGAAAGAAAGAAACAAAGGCATCCAAATTAGAAAGGAGTTAAATTATCTCTATTTGCAGATGACATATTATATACAGAAAATCTAAAGACTCCACTAAAAAACTGTCAGAATAAACAAATTCAGTAAAGTTGCAAGATACAACACCAATGTACAAAAATCTGTTGCATTTCTATATACTAATAATGAACTGTCAGAGAAATTAAAAAAAAAATCCTATTTATAATTGCATCAAAAAGAACAAAATACGAAGGAATAAATTTACCAAGGAGGTAGAAAGTTGTGTACACAGAAAACTAAAGCACTGATAAAAGAAACTGAAGAAGGCATAAATGGAAAGATCTACTGTACTCATGGATTGGGAGAATACTGTTAAAATGTTTAGACTACCCAAAGCAATCTGCAGATTTGTTGAAATCCCTATCAAAATTGTAATGGCATTTTTTCAGAAATAAAACAATCCTAAAATCTGTAGGGAACCATAAAAGATCCTGAGTAGCCAAAGCTATCTTAAGAACAACAAAGGTGGAGGCATCATACTCCCTGATTTAAACTATAATACAAAGCTTTAGTAATCAAACAGTATGGAATTGGCATTAAAAACAAACACATTGATCAATGGAACAAAACGAGCCCAGGAATAAACCCATGCATGTATGGTCAATTAATTTATGACAAAGCCAAGAACATGCAATGAAGGGACAGTTTCTTCAATAAATGGTGCTAGGAAAATTGGACAGCCACATGCAAACGAATGAAACTGGACCACTACCTTATACTACACATAAAACTTCACTCAAAATAGATTAAAGACTTAAATGTAAGACCTGAAACTATAAAACTCCTAGAAGAAAACATGAGTGAAAACCTCCTTGGCACTGGTCTCAGCAGTGATTTTTTTGGATTTCACACTAAAAGCAAACGCAGCAAAAGCAAAGATAAGTGGACAATATCAAACTAAAAAGCTAGAGCAAAAAAACCCATCAACAAAAGGCAACCTAACGAATGAGAGAAAATATCTGCACATCATTTATCAATAAGGGGTTAATACCCCAAATACATAAAGAACCCATACAACTCAAAAGAAAAAGCCAGTCTAATTAAAAAATGGGTAAAGTATCTGAATACACACTTTTCTACAGAAGACACACAGTCAATAGTTACATGAAAAGATGCTCAACATCACTAAGCATCAGGGAAATGCAAATCTTAAAACTACAATGAGGTACCATCTCACACCTGTTACAAGGGCTATTATCAAAAAAAAAAAAAAAGTGCTGGAGATGACGTGGAGAAAAAGGAACCCTCACACACTGTTGGTAGGAATGCAAATTGGTGCAGCAACTATGAAAAACAGTATGGAGGTTCCTCAAATAATTAAAAAATAGATATGATCTAAATAAAAGTTCCACTTCTGGGTATTTGAAGAAAACAAAAACACTCAAAAAAATATATATGCACCCCTATGTTCACTGCAGCATTATTTATAATAGTCAAGATATGGAAACAACCTAAGCATCCACCCATGGATGAACAGATAAAGAAAATGTATGTGTATATACAATGGAATATTATTCAGCCAAAAAAGAAAACCTTGCCATTTGCAACAACATGGATGAACCTTGAAGGCATTATGCTAAGTTAAAAAAGAGAAAGAGAAATATGATACAATATCACTTACATGTGGAATCTTATTTTAACCAATTTAAAAAAATCTTAGCTAACGCATACAGAGAACAGATTAATGGTTGGCAGAGGTGGGGGGGTGAACAAAATGGGTAAATTACTTTTATAAAAAGGGAAGAAAATATATTAGTGGGAATATTGTCCTAAAGAATGAGAAAAACTAAAACTACCATATACAATTAAATTCTAATTAAGTGTAAGACAAGTTCTTAAAATTAGGGGTAGAGGCGGCTATAAATTGAATCATGTCAAACATTAAAAATTTCTGTTTAATAAAAATACTATAAACAAAGTTAAAAGACAAGCACATAAACCAAAAGATATTCGTAATGCAGATAATCTACAAGAAATCAGCAAACAAACCATAAACAACTCAAAAGAAAAATGGGGAAAAGAAATAGAAAATTCAGAAAATAGAAGTAGAAACCAAAAGGTCCAAGGAACATATATAGATCCTAAGCTTCACCAGCAAATCAAGGATCTGCAAGTTAAAATACTAATATGCTATCTCTTCAGGACAATCAGATTTGGAGATATTTTAGTCTTTCCAGAAAAGAAAGGATTTGGAAAAATGAGAACTTTCATATGCCACTGGTGGAAATGTATACTGCTGCAAATGGGCAGAACTTGGCAATATAATAATATCTAATAAAAATATTTAGAGTGATTACTTCAAATAAATATATAATAAAGAGGAGATCTAAAATGTCTAAAGTAAGGTTATCAGTAGAAATAAGATAAAAACATTCTGTGTTTAACCTACCAATGATTTTTTTAAGAGCATCTAATTCTTCTTGTTGCTTATGATATGAGCTTTGCTGAAGCTTGGTTTGCAATAAATCTGCCTCCTCAGTTTTCATCTCCCATTGCTGTTTTAGTTGGCGATACCTTAGAAAAAGAAGTTTACAATAAATGATCACAACTTTTCTGATATTTGAGATATGCATTTAAACTGTAGGCTCTTAGCTAAAGTAATCTCACAATATAAAATAACCTTGGAATAAATAGGTTCCCTTAAAAATGGTCTCTCCTACTGATCCTTACCAAGAAGAAAAACTCCACAATAGCTCCCCACCACAAAAACACATTAAAATGTAACCACCACACAAAATTTCAAAAATCTGGTTATCAATTCCCATTTTCAAATGTTAAAGTTCCCTACATTTTGTAATGAGACCGATAGTTTAAAAAGGCACAGTACTGGGGCGCCTGGGTGGCTCAGTTGGTTAAGCGTCTGCCTTCAGCTCAGGTCATGATCTCAGGGTCCTGGGATCGAGTCCCGCATCAGGCTCCCTGCTCGGTGGGGAGCCTGCTTCTCCCTCTCCCTCTGCTGCTCTCCCTTGCTGATGCTCTCTCTCGCAAAAACAAAAAAAATAAAAAAATAAAAGGCACAGTACTGAACTTAAACATTACAGTGTGCTCTTCTTGCAAATCCTGTAATTCTAGCCCATTTCTAGCTGCTGAATATTCTTTCTTTGGAAGTTATTTAGCTAATTCAGCTGCAGTGAAATTTCAAGCTGTAATAAATCCACAAGGAAGCTTGGCACTAGAAATTCATGAGGTCTGAGGAAAAAGGAAGGAAGCAACTTATAAAACATAAATATTCCCTTGAGTATTCTTGCCTGAGAATGCTTGACAGCAATTAAAACCATAATTTTCAAGCCATTTCTCAATTCGTTTAAAAATGTGGAATGCAGAAATTTGAAAAAAGTTAGAAACTTTTTTCATAATATAGTCCGTGAAAGAATGGCTTTAGGACCTTTCCACGCTCATATTTTTTAAGTAGCAAGATGCATGGAGCCTAACACAGGGCTTGAACTCACGACACTGAGATCAAGACCTGAGCTGAAATGAAGAGTCGGATGCTTAACTGACTGAGCCACCCAGGGGCCCTCTACTCTCATATTTTTAACAATCTATTTCCTTTCCTTGACCTCAATGCCACTATCAGTCCACAAGACAATTCTGTAAAATAACTTTATTCAGTAGTATTGGATCATTTAACAGGAAGCCAAATGCAACTACAAACTCATTGCCTTGCCAAAGCTTCCACAGATCTCAGAAATCTTCTTCCCATCTTTTTCCGAGAAAAGTTCATTCACTTTTTGGTAATTTATGTTAATGAAGGTAAAATCAGGCTTTACATATGTATATGTTTGAAAGTGGGCATTTTGATACAATTTCTATCTTAGAACGATTATGACCATCTCTTCCATATGTATAGTATTCCAAAAAAGTTTTGGCACCATTCTAAGCTTTCATAATTCAGAAAATGAAAGCTAAAAATTTACAAATATATATATATTAAAGTTTATCTACATACACATTTTAACCTTTATTCAGTATTGCAAATTCCAAATAAAGTGATTTTAATTTTAACTCTGTTCCCATTTGTCATCTTCAGAGAGACTGGAAAAAAATCAGAAAGTTTCAAATAATGTACTTTTTAAGTTTGTGGCATTTTTCCTCTTAGAACTTAGCATTATCTAATATGTTTTACCAATTTAACTTTTTTTTATTGTGTTTTCCCAGCTATATATATGAAAACAAGAAGGAAGAGATTTATCTGTTTGGTTCACTGCTATATTCCCGCTCCTAAAAGAGTATTTGGGACATAGGAGACACTTAGTAGTAAATAACATTAATTGACAAAAAGAGGTTACATTAAATAGCAAGATCCCAATTTCAAAAAAATAAAAATATGTATCTACCTATATCATACACAAACAGAAGTAATGTTGAAAAGCACACATGCATACCCATATCCACACCTACACAGAAGAAACACTGTTAAGGAAACACTTTACAGTGACTTTCTACATGAACTTGTTTACTTCCTCAGTGGGAAACCCAGTGATCTTTATTATCTATCAGACAGCAACAAGCTGCTAAACTTAATGTTGACATGTGATTGATGCTATACTGTTTATCATTTCAAATCAAGGACTCCAGTATCCTCTGGTATCAACCTCCAGAGTATCTATGGATTTCCCCATCAATCCCAGTAGAATGTTAACAGTATATCTCAACAGGGAAAGAAAAATATCTGGCTGATGTTTTCTTTCTTTTGTTTAATTAGCTTTCCCTATTTTCTTATAACAAAGACATTATTTTTATCAGAAAAAATAACTGATATGTAAGTTATCAACTCACAATTTATTCAAATAAAACCAAGGATATTATGAAAAAAGGCAAAAGTTATATTTCTTTAGATAAAATTCTTTCATTTTCTACCATGCAAGTCTTTGACCAGAAAGAAACTTTAATATATAATTTAATCTGACAGAAGTCTTACTTTTCAGCTGTGTTTTTAAGACCTGCTAATTCCTCGTCTAGAGTCTGTAGCTTATTCTCCTTGATTCTCAGCTCATCTTGAACATCTTTGAGTTCTTGAAACTTGGTTAAAATAGAAGCTGCCTGGGATCGAGCACCTGATAGAAACAAATTTTAACAGGCCTTAGACATTTAGTTACAACATACTTAGTAGACAAAAACTTTTTTTTTTTTTTTTTTTAAAGATTTTATTTATTCTTTAGAGAGCGAGCGAGAGAGAAACAGCATGAGAGGGGAGAGGGTCAGAGGGAGAAGCAGGC